CCTTTTCGACCAGAAATGGCGCATAGAGTGACAAATGTAAGCGCCCACGTGGCGCACGATATTTTCCACTCCGTTTTGAAACATTTGATATCGTAAAATGGATTTCTGATTGTGTTTCGTGTCGCCATGTGTATGTACAAAACTGTGTAGTGTTACCGCCAATGATAGTAGCACCGCCTATATATATTTTTGGGACGTCTCGGGTGTTTTCCTATGGTAATAACAGCAACATGCGGTATAACTGATTACCCCAAAAAACGTGATTAACCATCATTCATGATATAATTTTTATAAACAACTTTAAATTTGTTAAATTTGGCAAGTACTGACGAGAATTTTGCCCTTATTATAATCTTTAAAGTAAGCTTGCTATTATTTCAATTGAAATACACAAAAGCTTTTGTATGAATGTAGTATTTGACTCCATAAAAGGCGCTTAACTGTCCTTGTCAATTCTTTGGTCTTTGGCTCGTTTGAACATTTTGTAAACATGCCTTCTTCTGATGACATATGTCTCTTGGATTTAGGAAGATTAGTGTGTACACATATTTTGGATTATATCTTTTGGTAAGTACAATATATTAGAATTTCCACAATTTTGAATATATGTGCATGCTCTTTTAGTTCAAAGTAGTGACATTTAAAGTGTTTTATTAACTTTTAAGAGTCAACAAAAAAAGAATGTCATAGATTTATAAAAAGTATTAATAAAGAAGATGTGGTATGCTTGCCAATGAGACAACTCTCCACAAGAGACCAAATGACACAAAAAATATGCATATACATATCATAAAATTGTGTAGGACATGAGTCATATTTTGTATCATTTTAAAACATTGTTTTATAAAATAGTACTTCTGAAAAAGTAATTTTGCTATAAAATTAGAGATCTGTGGTGTGACTGAAAATATGACATTTATATATCCACAAATGGTAAAACAATATATCTTTATATATACATGTATAGTATATACACTACCCACCAAAAGTATGATATAAAACATGGGCAAGACCCATTATGTTATAGTACAATGATTATGAAAAACAAATATTAAACAAAAAAGAAAGGACAACCTCTTTATTTCTAGGGACAGTCACTTATTATAATGATGATAATTTAGTACTGACATGAGGTTTAATGTATTGTACAGTTATATATCAGCTGCTGAACCAGGGTGGTGGTGGTGGCAATTAAGTCAACATTAGGAGTAAGACTTATAAAACTTCTATGCAATAAGTTATGTAGCTCTAAAGCTCAGAAAGGGGGAGCCCCCTTTCCTAAATCCACCTCTGAATATTAAATTTCTAGAAGGATTTGACACTCTTAGAAATTGACCCTGCAAGTGACACATTAATACAAATCTTTTCAAAAAGTGTTATTTTCATTTGATAATTTCAGAATTGACAACAAATGTAACTAACTAACTTTATATCTGTACAATGTTAACTTATTCTTTTATATGCTAGATTCTTTTACTTTTATTTTGCAGAATTTGCCATCAACAAATTCAACATTAAGGACAGCGAGTTCAATGGGACACTGAACGAAAAGATACACACATGTAACAGGACTACCTATAGACGACAGAGAACAAATATTGTTTTATTAAATCACAGAAAATGCCATAAATGGAAAGATTTTCTAAAGACATTCTCCTTACTCATCCATCAAATTCCATCTGATGGTCAATTCTCCATCAAGTTTCCATGCATTTTACATGTAATGGAAATATTCCATTGGTTTTCCATTACATGGAAAATGTTCCATCAGTTTTCCATCTGATAGTAGCCTTTTCATCTAAATTTGGGTTTTTAATGTAAAATTAGAAAGACAGGTAAAAAAGCTTTTGTGAGACCTCGAAATTGAAAGTATTATCTTTTTTTCTTTTATTTAACTATTGTTAATCAATAAAAGATCACAAAAAAATAATCTGTTATCAAAGGGAGACAATTCAATCTCAATCTCAATGTGTTTTAATCACAGGAGAGATAAATCTTGTTACATGAGGAGTTATCTCTTCAACTATAGTCTATTTTTTAAAACAACTTCTAGGTATTTAGTTTGCTTACTCATGTTTTATAATTAGTTCCTCACTTTGGAACCGAAAATGATTTTTTTTTTTATTAGTTGTTAGTGGCTTTGAACTAGCTGTCAGTAACTGCGAGTACTCTCAGATCTGTACTTAGTGTCTTTTTGTTGTTTGGATGTACAAGTACCCGGACACGTCTACTTGTAATTGTAGTACTAGTATTTGTATTTTTATCCATCTGATGAGTTAAGCCTCTTTCAACTGATTTTTATAGTTCGTTCTTATGTTGTACTGTTACACCACTGACCAACGTTAGGGGGAGGGTTGGGATCCCGCTAACATGTTTAACCCCGCCACATTCTGTATGTATGTGTCTGTCCCAAGTCAGGAGCCTGTAATTTAGTGGTTGTCGTTTGTTTATGTGTTACATATTTGTTTTTCGTTCATTTTATGTACATAAATTAGGCCGTTAGTTTTCTCGTTTGAATTGTTTTACATTGTCATTTCGGGGCCTTTTATAGCTGACTGTGCGGTATGGGCTTTGCTCATTGTTGAAGGCCGTACGGTGACCTATAGTTGTTAATTTCTGTGTCATTTGGTCTCTTGTGGAGAGTTGTCTCATTGGCAATCATACCACATCTTCTTTTTTATATCTAATAAAAACCCTCAATATTTATTTGCTATGTAATCTTTGTGGATTAAAAAAAAAGATTCATTATAGGGTAATAAGGGCGCCATCAAATAAATAGACAAGAATGACAATTTAAGACATCGAAACATTCAAAATTCAATTGAGTGTATGGAAGTCTGATTCTTGTTCAATTTATTCTATAGAAAATTTTAAAAGTGACTATGAATTTATTGCAAGAATATTTATTGAAAGAGTACATTTTTATTATTTTGACAACACCTTTGTAAAGAGATATTTTGTATTTTTCTTGTATGCGTTGAGGCCATATATATAGTTGACAGTAAAGAATACGCATGGGGGTTAAAAACGAGACGTGTTAAACAAAATGGCCATTATTAAAGCAAAAGTCCTGACTCGTAATTTTTGCATATAGGAAACAAATCAGGTAGTATAATATATTTTGTGGCCAAATGATGGGTTGTTAATGGGTGCGAGTCATTGTGACATTGATAAGGGGGTGGACAGAATTATGGGAACTATGGAATGAGAGGGCTGGAAATAGGAATTGGATAGATGAAAGCTGGAGTCAGGGTGGTGTTAACCGTGAGGAAAGGATGTTAAAACAGGGATAATTCATGTTGACGAAAAAATAGGAGTGCAGAGGAACAGAATACGGAGTGAAGTGGGAGTTTGGGGAGGGAACTGGGAGTCAATACTCCCTGTCTACCCCCTTACTGATAGCCAAAAAAGAAAAGGGGTTGGGGGTCATGTATGTAGAAGGAGCAATTCTGCAGGGGATGCTGACCACAGCTTGTTCTAGTTTGTAAACTGATAAATAAGAAGACGATTGATGCCTTATGTAATAGCGCTATCTAAATAAAAGAAAAAAAAAAACTAAAAAAAACCAATATATAATTTATTCAATTTGTATCATGTAGACCAAAAGTAGAGAAATTGAGCATTGAATGACTGCAATAATCATCCGTTTTAAGAACGCATATGGCAGATGCACTAACCTCATAGGGAGATTTTGGAAGAGCACAGCTTCCCATAGTTGGACTGAATGTCAGTCCACAGACCATACATCGATGATGATGGAAGTTTAAAACCACCTTGACTGGCTATATAGCATTCGCCTAGTTAGCCCTGCATAGCGCCTTTTAATGTTTATAAAGAATTTAATTCGATATTATAATTCCAAACAACTTATATAAAATGATTAAGTCTTTCAATGAAGGTTATAAATGATTAGCAAGGATGCAAATACTAAACTTTAGAACCTAAATAAATATCTTTAACAAATGAATTCAAAATAGCAATATCTATTCAATTTAACAAATATGTACTGAATATAAGTGTCATGTAAATCGTTAAATATAGAAACATGCAATTTCTATTTTTAAACAAGGGAAATAAAAATTACATGATAATCCTATCTGCCAAATGTATTTAGAAACAATTTGTTTTTATAAACAATTACTAATTAGAAAAAAAAACACACACACTGAAGATAACATGTGTTTTAGTTGCAACAACTTTATTGTTAATAAACAACTGCCAACCTGTACCAGAAATAAACACTGGTTTGGAACAAACTATACACTACGAACGACAACTCTACCTAGTATGTTACTCTTATTTGTTGATAATATAAACAAAAATTGATTTAAAAAAAAGCGGTAATATGTAGCAATTAATAGAAATCAGAATACCGTAGTAAAAATCATAAGGAAATTGATCTGCTTTGCCGCCCGGAGATGCCGATAAGTGAACTTGTACAAAATCATGTTTTCAGGGGAAGTGATGAATTGTCCTTGCCAAAATAACAATTAATTCAGGTATCTGACATTGCTAACATATATTGATACCACGATAAAACATTGATAATACTGTCTTGTTAAATATACCTAATTGTCAAAGAATGCAGCAATAGTGTCGTCATCGACGGCCAAAGAAAAAACCGTGATGATAAAGCATGCAATTCCGGAAATTGACCGTCTCCGAAAATATTAAATTCTAAAATTGAATTATCGTCCTTTTCGCGCCAGACGACTATTGAAAAGGCAACTGATAGCAAACTGACCATCAGTTTTCCATCAGATGGCAAAAATACCATCAATTATCCATCAGATGGCAAAAATACCATCAATTATCCATCAGATGGAAATTATGCCATCAATTTTCCATCATCATGAACACAAATTCCATCAAACCTTTTCCATCAACCATTTTCCAGCATTGATGGAAAGTTGATGGAAAGTTGTTCCAATACTCCATCAACATGATGGAATGTGATGGCATTTTTTCCATCACAAAATGGTTGAGTTCCGCAATAGCCGTTCCGGGTTTTTTTCCGTTTACGTTCCGACCATTAGAATTTACAGATTTTCACTTCCGGGACGTTCAACCATTTTACGCAGGAAAATTCATAACAAGCCATTCATCATAGTATAACAGAAAGGAGAGCGACCATGTATTAATTCTATTCAACTAGTTACGTTAATTAATGGTAAGGTTAAGATTTATGAGTATGCTTCTTGTCATAAATGTGATAGTAAAGCGTAAAAAGCACGAAATTGGAATCAATACATGTGAAAACAAGATGTTGTTTTTCTTCAACCAACACGATTTAAAGACAAATTCTTACACATATATCCGTGTTTGTTTGTTTGAAATCCACATTTTGAACATCTGTGCCTCATAATCATAAGATTTTATTCGAAAAACATAAGAAAGCTTTAAAATGGTTAAGGAGAATCCTCATAAAATGATAAATACTATAAATTTATAGGATATATTATATCCAAAATTGGGTACATGTATCATTACTATCAGATTACCGACTATTTAGTGTTAAAAAAGAATTGTATATCTTCATAATACCTGTCATAATGCAAATATTCATTTACATGGCAAAGTTTTTACCTTGAACATGTTGAAGTTTAAGACCATAGTTCAAATGAGAACTTTTAAATACAAATCCTACTTTTTGAAGGCTGGTCCAAGAACACTGTTATCGTTCTTTAATTTTCCTGGTCCACTAATAGTCCCTATCGTGGACAGTGTATTAGTTGCATTTTTTTATTTCTTCATTTTGTATGCCTCAAATATGTAGCTACATGTACATGTATATAATACGGTTAAATACCATACTAGGGGTGAAATTACATTGCTAAACAAATTTGGGTCATAAATTTTAAAGTAAAGTTATGATTATTGCAGTGTTTTCAATTTGGTCTAGACAAAAAAGGTTAACAACTAGTATATCTGAAGCATTCAAAAGAATTCAAGACCCCAGGCCCCTTAACCTAAAATTTTCCATACAATTAGTGAAGAGCTGATGAATTTTTCTTTTATTTGGATATACATGTATATTTTTTAATTTGCATTTATTGTTTAAAAGAAACGCACTACGAAAATAACTATGTTCTATGGCCAGCTGTTAACTTTGTTCCTGATGATCATATTCAGCATGTTCAGTTATGTTGTCTTTATGCAAAATGAAGTCCCTTACCAGAATGCGTGCACCACAACAGAAAATATCTTTAAATCCAAAGCTTATATTTTTATCAATGACAATTTGTTGGGTATAACATGTATAATACCCATTTATGAGGATCCAGATCCTCCTAAACCTTTATAGTATTATGGATTAACTCATGTGCATGTAACATGATTAATCCCCTGATAAACATGTTAATATTCAACATGTACAAAGTCTTTAAAAAAAGTGAAAATTTCGTGAATTCAAATTTTCTCGCATGCATATTCGGCTCATAACAGGATATAAATGTTTGGCAAAGTCTTGTTTTCTACCTGTTTGTAAGCCTTGTACAAATAAAATTTACATTTCGAGTCAGTTAATGGTTATTTTATTGATATCTACACATATAAAAATAAAGAGATGTGTAATCAACACGATCAATGCCAATGAGGCAACAATCCACCAAAGTTCAAATGAAGTGGATTTAAGCAATTATAGGCAACCGTACAGCCTTCAACATATATTGACAAAACCCATACTCTCTAGTCACTTATAAAAAGCCATGACAGTACAGTTATGAAACAATTCAATTGAGAAAAATTAACAACCTAATTTTTAACAAATTTTGTCAAAACAAATTACCATATGAAATGTGACAATTATCAACCAATGACAACTACTGAACTACAAGCTCCTGACAAGAACAAGCTGCAATTGAAAAAGGGCTCAACTCATAGGGTTGATTTAAAGCAGAAAAAACATCATACAATTCAGACAGGAGGTGGCCGCTTATTTATACATCACTCCCGTCTTCCCACTTACAAAAATGTAACTACAGGCCTGTAAAACTCATTTGAACAGGCCAATGGAATCTTTATAAACTTTTCAAAAAATTGAGCTTCAGGCTTGTGGTCTCAAAAGTTTACCGTGAAGGCTGTTATGATAATTAGGGCCCCGCCGAATGGCGGACGCCCTATAGTGATCAGTCTGTCCGTCTGTCAGTCCGTAACAAATTATGTCCACTCTATATCTAGAGAACCGTTATGATTTCAAAGTTTATACTTGACATGTATATTAACCAACACCAGAGGGTGTGTCATAATTTATGTACAGCTTCCTAGGTCAAAGTTCAAGGTCATAAACTTCGGTTTCAGTTGACAACCCCATGTCCAATGATAGAGATACAAATTTTTTACCACACATTATTCACAGCGGGGCCCACAGAGATGGCTCCCATCTCAATGATATCTAGTTATTTTAATTATACTGTGTAAAATCTTGATATTTTAAATTATTTGAGACGACACAAAATTGCAGAAAAATATTATGCTTTGAAAAATTTGAAAATTTCTAGTGAGCGATAAGAGTTTAATAATATTTTTTTTTTCCAGAGTTATGTCATCAGATACAGAGTCAGAATGTCAAGAAGAACAGCTGTCATTGGCAGAACTGTCAAAATGGAAAGTTCCGGAATTAAAGGATTGGTTGGAAAAGCGAAAGTTAAAGAAATCAGGTCTAAAGGATACATTAGTCAAACGTGTATATAGGGCAATGTCAAATGAGGACTCAGACTTTTCAGAAGAAGAAAGTTTTCCAGTTATTCCAATTGATTTAGTTTCAAATCCATGGAAACCACTAGACTTTACTGATATTCCAGAAATATCCATTAAAGATGTTGACAGCTATTTCATGTACCACAAAAATCCCACAACTGGGGAGAGTACCAATTTTGAAAGGCAAATGAAAAAGGCAAAAAGATTGTGCAACGAAGGATTCATAAGAGACATTGAATATAATCCTATTAATCAAGGATCAGAACATAATTATTTTAGGAGTAAATGTATGCCTTCTATGAGACAAATTGTACAAGTCGGAGACACTGGAAATACTGCAAAGTACTATTCACTGCATATAAGTACCATCAAAGTCACTGGCCTAATTGTTAGTGCTTTTTGTAACTGTAAAGCAGGGGGAGCAGGGTTATGTGCACACGTAGGTGCACTTCTGTACACACTTGTTAAGACAAAAGATGCATGTACATCTAATGCATGTGGATGGGATAGACCTAGGCCACTACAAAGAAAACCAAGTCCAAAACGAGTGTGTGACATTAAATTTGTTAAAACTGAAAAAGAACAAAAAGCTGAAAAAATAAAACCATACCCTGGAGTATATCAAGCTGGACCTTGTAAAGAAGAAGGCAATTTATTCTTGCATGATATATTAGATGGACTAAAGGATGTGTACCCCGAGTGTGTACTTTATCAGACTTTGCGGCCGGAACATGCAAACATTGATACATTTTTAGATCTATTTCAAACCAATTTTACTTATATGGATAATGTTATTATCAAATCAGCAGAATGTTTAAACGTATTTGAAGCGTTTGTTAACAGCTTGATGGTCACTTCCAACATTAGTGAGAATTTAGAGAAAGCTACAAGGGGTCAGCATTTTAATGTAAATTGGAAGAAGGCCAGAAGTGTATTAATTACAGCTTCAGTAATGGGGGAAGTTGTCAAGCGTAAAAAACTTGAGCCTGATAACTTGGTGAAAAAATTGTGTGGGTACATTACGATACCAGATGCAGTGAAAAGTCTTCAATATGGGCGCAAAAATGAAGCTGTTGCAATTGGGGATTATACAAGGTCACACTTGAAAACTTGTGATGATGTCCGTATCGAATCATGTGGACTGTTAGTAAATCCCACCTATCCCTATCTTGGTGCAAGTATTGATGGTCTAGTGGTATGTTCTAAGTGTGGAACTGGCATTGTTGAAGTGAAGTGTCCTTATGGCTCTGATGTTAATGACAAACCTTGGAGAAATATGCTTCCCATTGAATGTGGCAAGGACAAAAAATTCTTTTGTACAGAGAGAGACTCTAAGCTTTATCTTGATGAAAATCACAATTATATGTATCAAGTACAAGGTCAGCTAGCACTGTATGAACTAGATTGGGCAGATTTTGTTGTTTGGACAAAGAAAGGGATAAATGTTCAAAGAATAAACTTTTCACAAACTCTTTGGGATGAAATGTTACCCAAGTTAAAGAACTTCTATGTAAGTGGAATTGTTCCAGAACTTTTTACAAGAAGAGTAAGGAGAGGAAAGTCTCTTTATTAGAATATTAAACCCAAGTCAGATTTTTACTTTAAATGTTTGATTGATCCTTCATGACTTATTCATGTTATTTATGACATTCTTTTTTCTTCATCATATAAAAAAAGAAGATGTGGTATGATTGCCAATGAGACAACTCTCCACAAGAGACCAAAATGACACAGAAATTAATAACTATAGGTCACCGTACGGCCTTCGACAATGAGCAAAGCCCATACCGCATAGTCAGCTATAAAAGGCCCTGAAATGACAATGTAAAAACAATTCAAACGAGAAAACTAACGGCCTTTTTTAAGTACAAAAAATTAACGAAAAACAAATATGTAACACATAAACAAACGACAACCACTGAATTACATGCTCCTGACTTGGGACAGGCACATACATACATAATGTGGCGGGGTTAAACATGTTAGCGGGATCCCAACCCTCCCCCTAACCTGGGACAGTGGTATAACAGTACAACATAAGAACGAACTATAAAAATCAGTTGAAAAAGGCTTAACTCATCAGATGGAAAAAAATACAAGTGGACGTGGCCAGGTACTTGTACATTCCAACAACAAAAAGACACTAGGTACAGATCTGAGAGTACTTTTCAAAATTAATATTACTATTTTATACATAAAGATCTAGAATGTTTATGATGACTTCTACTGGTATGTACATGTATAAGTAAAATATATATAGAATTATCTGTGTTGAAATATAACCAACGTGTATAGTTCGTACATGTATGTGTAAAAGAAAACAGTTTTATTGTCTTTTACTTCTGTCCCAGAAAGCAAAACATACATGTAGTGATAGTGACGCCATGAAACAATATTACAGAAGGTAGATGATTTAAAATACTTTGTATAAGATACCTTATGTTACAAAATTTACATCTGTCATATGTCAAACGTCCTTGACCATACATGTATATGCATGTTGACCTCATTTTCATGGTTAGGTGATTGTTTGGAAAAAAGCTAAGAATTTTTTAATTTGACATTCTCTTATTTTGAGTAATAAGTTCACTGAATTTTGTAAGTTTATACATTTTTACCTTGCAAGCCTCATGACATGTCTTTCAGACAGTTTTCATTTGCCCTCAACTACATTTCATGGATCAGTGATGAACAAGGTTAAGTTTTGAAGGTTATAAACAATGGTTGGAGAGTTGTCTCATTGGCAATTATACCACATCTTCTTTTTTATATTAAGTCTATATCTCAGATATTGAAAGCAATAGGTCAACTATATTTGGTGTATGGTATATATGCATATCCAATTGGCAGGTGTCATCTGACTTGTGACCTCATTTTCATATACTGACAATAAAGAATATGTGAACTATATTTGGTTTATGGAATAATTAAATGGTGTATATTTATATCTTCACCAGACTTCAAATGACTTAGAAGTTTATAACTATAGGCTAGGTCATTGTACAGCCTTCAATAATGAAGCAAAACCAGTAAAAAAACGAAGCAAAACTTGATATGTTGAACTTTTAACATGAATAAATAGCAAATATACATCATTTTACATGATATACATGGATATAACAAAGTTTCATCTCAAATATAAATGAAAACAGCAATTTAATAGTAAAGCTCATTTTCTGTACAAAAAAAAAAACACCACCTTGTAAAACTTTCATGTTGTCAATCATGTCAATCATTTTTAAGAAACAGAATACAATTAAAGACTAAATAATTTTCTCTTATCAAAACAGTGAAAATCTTTAAGCATGATAATTTGGATTGTTGATAATTCTATACATTATCACATGCATGCATTAAATTGAAAGAAAAAAAAATTCTCATGAGCTATACAGAAAATTACAATGTATCAACAAATGGGCTTTACTATATCCCTTTCAATATTTTCACTTCAGAAGTGGAGGTAACAAATTGGTCAAAGCAGTGCATATTAGTACAATTTGTTCTGATAAATGGGCTTCAGTTAATGGAATGCCAGAATTCAAAATGTTAAAGTTCTTAATTTGTTCCATTTTCATTTCAACAACTATCCTTGCGGATGCAATATTTGTAGTTTTAAAAAAGTCTTTGGAGGACATTTGACACTTTGTTGATACTCTAGGTGGCACATTTAAACCAATATCAGCTGGTAACAAATCCTCTATTGTGAAACCTTTGTCTGCCATGACAACATCTCCAGGTGATAACTTCGGTAAAAATCCGTCATGTTGAGAAATATGTCGATCTGACACATTTCCACCCCATAGTCTAGACACAAATGTCACCATTCCATTTGGTGCAACACCAATCAATACTTTTAAAGTGTTTGAATGTTTATACTCAGACCAAGTTAACCACTGTGCTTTCAATGAAGTTGGTTTGTCAATATAAAATTCTGTGCAGTCAACAACAATTCTCGTATCAGGATGTCCTGTAAAAAGTTTTGGCAAATTGCACATAATTTGTTCACGTGTTGGCCAAGCAATCAGTGTCAAGCAATGATCATATAAAAAATTTATCCAGGTGTTCATTATTCTAGATACAGTAGATTCGGACACACGGAAAATGTCTGCAAGATGTTCATGTCTAAGTGCTAATCTTAATCTCATGCAAGTCATTAAAAATTCATCGATTGGCCTTAAAAATCTTTTCTTTCCTGGTTTGCAAACACCTGGTTCATGGTAAGTTTTTTGTCCCATTGATCGTGCCTCTCCTTCCCAATAATTTAAATTATCAGCACCATGCTTGACAAGTGTGCTAAAAAACATCCAAAAGACTTTAAAGCCGACAAACCCAGTATAAAACCGAACTTTTGCATCATCATTTTGAATGTTTTCAATAGATATTCTCGGTAGGTCTGCCTGCACCTCTACATGCTCTACTGAAACAGAAGAGAAGGAACTCTCTGTTTGAACCTCTACTGTCTCAGTAGATATGTTTTCTGTGTTAGTCTCAGCATGGTTTAAAACTACACCATCAGTTTGTGTTGACACTGATCTGAATTTGCTGTATGGTTCAAGTCCAACTGGGTTTTCATTTTCTTCAGCATCATTCAACTCATTATTATTGCCTAATTTCCTAATCAATGGTCGGCGGGGAGTTTCCTGTTTTTTTGGCTTGCTAGGGAATATGGTTGGTATGGATTCATCTGTGAATGTCCCTTCAAAATGAGCACTGCACACTCTAGTATGGTCTTTCACCACCAAATTTGCTCTTACATTGTTCAATCTTTGAATCCATAGTCTTTTGATGTGTGCTTTCTTTTCTGACATTGGGAAACGATGCAAAATAATTTTGTTGCCATTTAAATCTACACTGTCAGAGGTGTTGCTACATCCCGGAACGCAACAGTATCTTTTACCCATCCTAAAAAAAGAGAACTTTATATATATTGAATGCAAGGTTTTCAATATGTACTGTAAATTTAGCAATTATAATTTATTGCGAGATTTTAAATAATGTGAGTAATGTGACTGGATGAGTATATATTTATTTCGTTTGTGCTTGTATTATATTTTCCCTCCACAGGTTATATATATAAGAAAATTAATAAAAGATAATAACCATAGGCGTTTCCAGGGGGGCCCAGGGACCCCCTTTCGTGGAAAAAAATTGGTTGATTATATAGGGAATCACTGAAGCATGACTGGAGCCCCCTTCACTTCTTTCACAGATCTTTCATTAGAATTAAGAGATAACTGTATACAGTATATATATTTTCCGCATATGTGAGGAATATAGTAATTTGCTGTGAAAATAATTTTATTGCGTGCGAAATAATATGTTATAACAATTTGAGACATCAATTTTAATAGTATTTGATATTCAAACCAAGTGATTTTAAATAAGAAGCGTATTATTGACTGATATAAGTATTTTTTTTCCCTGTGTGAGCCTATGACAAACTGTACAGCTTAAGACTTCGTCACATACTAGTAGTAACATTTGTTATGATGAATTTGTTGAGGTTCTAAATGGGGTGAAAAAGTTGTATATATACCCTGGTAGTTTTCTGAATAAATGCTAACATCTATGGATATCAACACATTCGTAATCTGTAATATATATCTATACAGTATGAGTATGTCTCATTGTTGCAGGATGTACGATTGCCCATAATTGCTTACATCCACTTCATTTGAACTCGGGTATATGATTGTCTCATTGGCAATAGTACCACATCTCCTTATTTTTGATATGACAAAGATGCAGTTAGGATTTAACTTTGAAGATTTATAGCTGACATGTAGTATTTCACACTCTTCATAGTTGACTAAGGTTCATATTGACCCTGCAGTCACCTTTAGGCTAAGGTTGTGTTTCTGTGTTTTCACCTCAAAATTTACTCTGAGTTTCATAGTATAGCATGTCCAAGATAAACAAAATGCAAATTAATTTTATGTTTTAGAAAATTAAAAACTGAGAGCATGATATGAGGGCCTGTAGGGGGTCCATTGTTCTCTATTCTCTTATTTTGTAGGTCATTTTTCTTTTTTCATTAATCTTCATTCTTTGTACTGTTTGCACATTATTCTCTAATCATTATATTTTAATATATATCCCATTATTCTCTATTCTTTTTTTTAATTTGTTTTTCTATATATTCTTTATCTTAAAATTTAGCACTCTAAGACTAATAATAGCTAATATTAAAACACTCTCTGCTATGCCTTACAACTTTTCCAGATGCAAAGGTTTGTATGTATTCAGAGTAAATTTTGAGATGAAAACACAGCCATTTTACAGGTTGGGAACAACCCCTCAATGTAAAGTCTATCCCTTTTATAAGGGGTACAGGTGAATATTACAAAATTCTTGGACATGTTTTACCATATTATGGCATATAATACAAGATAGATGTATAGTTCTTAGAGAAAAGTTTCATTTCTAGTGATATATTTTTTATTTTTTTTTTTGTAAAAACAATTCTTGGTAGAAAAGGGCACATATTTATATTATTTGATGAAACTTTGCCTAAAGAACTTTATATCTATCAGTATCTTATATTACATGGTCAAAACATGTCCAAGAATTTTGTAATATTCACTTGTATCTCCTCTTTATAATTAAAAGAAAGTGGACCCCACT